ATCGATAGGAGGAGAACTTCACAAAACACCTATTGCATATTCCAGGATTCACCCATTTGCCTCCCTTTCCTGTTTCCGTAGAGTATTTATCTCAGGCATCAGTTGTAATGAAAACTCGAATAACTGGTCTTGGAAACCTTTGGTATGTTGCTCCTGATTAGAGGAGTCATTTTCTCTGGGATGAATTAAGTTCTTGTGAACGGTGATAGATTGACAGCCCTAGAAACTGGAAATTCTCTATTTACATTCATCTCCCTCAGCCTGGAATTAGTAAACTGTTCCTATCTTCCTTTGTCTACAAGCAGACATGTTCCCGAGACTGCAGTTTTTGGTGCATTCTGTGCCTATCTTCCCGTCTTCTTTCTGCCTCTCAGCAAAAGGTGCTTAGCCAAGCAATCATGGCTGCTATCTGTTGAGTGGGAAAATGAGTCACTAATTTAATTAAGCCAGCAGTAGGATTTTTCCACTGTTGTTTTTATTACCTCCATGGTCAGGGCTTCAGTTTGTTGCCCCCAGTAATATCCAGTCCAAGGACGGCTGGATGCCTTGATTCACATGGTGCTGCAGAGCTGAGGTCAGACCTGGCTGGTTTCCTTATCCATACAGTCCAAGGCCATTGCTCTGTCCTTCTCTTTAGTTTGCTGGCTGATGTACAGAATTTGTCAGGGCTAGCTAGCGTTAGGTCAGAGTCCAGTATGAGAGCTTTGCCAAGTCAGACTTCTGAATACTCTGTTAGATTCCTGGGAAGAATCTAACTGTCCAAATGCAAATGACCAGTATGGACCTCTTTTTTTGAGCTTGTTGTTCTCTATTGTACTGATATACAATAGAGAGAACAGCACTTTTAAACTGTTCCTGTGACCTTTCTCAGAGTATAAGGTAAAATGGATTGGGACCCTGAAAGCACTCAGTTCTCCCCATGGGACCGTCTACCCCTGGTCCCATGTCTAACCTAACAAAGCCAGAGGTAGATACACGTTCAAACAGAACGATGGCACCTTTGTAATTAACACCTTCTATTTTTTTACTAGATCACCTCAATCACCCTAAGGTTTTGGTATAATCAGCCATAGTTAATGGTATGGTAGTGTGAGTCAATACAGGGTGAGGAGGGAAGGGATGGGATATCTCTCACACATCTTTATATGTTATCTTATGTGTATAAATATCCAAGAGGCTACAGAAATATTATAAATGCTTTCCCTGTTCCTCTCCTGAATCCAAGTCCTAATCCAGATTTCAAAAGTGTCATTAAATGTCATGGTAATTTTGATACCATTCATTGTAATTTAGGACTATGTACAGTTCATTCAGTTCTGAGCTTTCTAATTAGAGAGTAAATGAGTGTTAGGTTTTCATGATACAGAAGTCTGTCTGGTAAGTATTAGATTGATACAATATACTTTTTTTTTTCAGATAAGGCATCAGATAAGTGTTGTGTATTAATGACTTACAATCATAAACCTACTAAAATCAGAGAGGAATTAGTTTCCTGTATCCCATATCCAGTATGCTGAACTGTCAGTCTCCCTCCAGTTCCATCAAATACTCTAGTTTTTCTTCATTTCCAGAAAACATGTAAAAAAAATCCTTGATAGTTAATTAAAAAAACTAAAAATACTAATATAATCAGCACTAGGTTGGTCTTTCCTAAATGTTTGCCTTCTTCAATCTACCTCCCACAGACTTCTGGCTAACAAACACTTTGAGTTTTACCCAAAGTAGCCATATCACTGATCTTTACATCTTTCTTCACCATATGTTGTTTCATTTTCTTGACACCTCAGTTTTTATGCCACATGCATTTTTTACTCAGTTTAAGTACATCTTTAACAATACAAACTATTGGATTTTGTTAAATTGTATAACCCTGACACAGTTTTATGGCTTTCCCTAAACTCAGTCTATGATTAAATGTATTCTTAGTCTTCTTGTTGACTTAACTATTGAAAGTTCTCTGGCAAAACAGGCAGAACAAAGTTCACAGGGAGCTCTATATCCATCACAAAATTGCTCTAAAGTGTTATGTATCCAGGCTCGTTGTATTTTTCATGCTTTATCACAAATCAGTGTCACAGATAGATTGCAGTTTGCAACCTGCAGTTGTTCATCGGAGTTAACTTGGCTGTCAGGACAGCCTTTTTGCAGGGCTTTAGGCTTTCGTAACTTGGGTGCATGAAACCGAACTATTTTTCTAGCCGACTGGGAGATCAATGCATGTGTCATTAGAACATATGGAACAAGGCTATGTTACCCTTTTGAGTTTGATTTAGGATATGTGGCATCCCAGCCTTCATACCTTTTAGAAGTGCCTGCACATAAATGAATGCAGTATGGAACAACTCAAATCATGAACCTTAAAAATATTTTACTTATGTTTTAGATCATCCTCCAAATCTTCAAAATCATTCAAGACTTAGAACTCCACCACCTCCAATATCACATGCTCACACCCCAAATCAACATCACGCGGCCTCCATCAATTCCCTAAACAGAGGGAACTTCACTCCACGCAGCAACCCCAGCCCAGCTCCTACGGACCACTCTCTTTCTGGAGAACAACCAGCCAGCACTCAAGAGCCAGCCCATGCTCAGGACAACTGGTTACTTAACAGTAACATCCCACTGGAGACTAGGTAAGTCATTTTCTTTAGTACTTTACAATGTTCTGACTGTGTGTGCTAAGGATGTTACGGAAAATACACACATCTGTATAGCTAGCTGTTCAGTTTGTGAACTGGTGTTTGGCTTATGTATTTTGAGCTGTATTTATTATTCCTTCTGTCTTTTTATTTGGACTAGGAGAAGAGGAAATTGCTCTTCTTTCATAAACTAAAAATATTGTCTTTAACAGCTGCTCATAAGGTTATTTTCCTCATTTAAAATTGGAATCAGAATCATAGATTAAAATGTTCTTGGTTTTCTTTCTTTTATTTTACTTTAATGTCTTTTCTTCCTATGTGGTAGGATAAATCAATATCCTATTTAAGAAACTGAAATCAGTCAATATATTGAAAACATTTAGCCTTCTAGCTGTGCCTCGTCAAGCAGATACTTTTGTAGTACATCATTCAGGAAAGGTTGATCATGTTTTACCTAATGAGGAGAGGTCGGCTGCTGCATTTTACTATCCTCCAACATCGCTGCAGCAAGCATGAAACACTGGATAGCAGGGCATCAGTCAATTAATAATGTTTCCATTTAGCTCTTAAATTCTTTTCCACCTATGCAACACACGAAGGGTGTGACAAAGGTGCACTGAGTTGTTACAGTTCATAGCTTTGTTTAGGTTCTATGTAGGTTCTGGAAAAGGGAGTTGTCAAAATCCCTCAGCCTCAGTCCTCCCATTTGATGGTGAGTGCATCTACTTCTTGCTGTCCCACTTGAAACTCAGTTTTTGCATTCTCCAGAGGTTTTGTTTCACCATTTCCTTTGCTACTGAGAAACCACTGGAGATGCTGGAGTCATTAGCCTCCATACATACTCTTCAGTCTGAAGAGAAGTCTTCCAGGCCTAACATTGTGCACTTAGCTGCCTTTTTCCCTCATTTGTCTTACCTTCTCAAATGAACAAGAAAGATTTTAGACAGCAAAAAATATATACTAATTGAAAATTGAGCCAGGGGCCAAATTTGTCATGTCACTGCCTGTGGGAATCTCATTGAGATCAGTGGTAGCTGTGTCTATCCTGGGACAAAATGTACCCAGTTTTGCCAGCTTCTGCTAAGAAAATAGTTTTTAAAAATGAACGCGTGTCGATCTGTTTGAGAATGAGCTATGTCTGCTGGCCCTCTGAAACTTCCAAACCAAACCTCAATCTAACATTTTATGGCATTTAAGGATAATTAATTTCTCTGTGACTGCTTGATTAAAAAGACCCAACTAAGAAGCTGGATCCAAAAGATTAGACAAAATTACAAGCAAGTACTGCAAGTGTGATTTGGCAGCAGTTTCAGTAATTATATTGTGTTCCTAATTCTTGAGCATATATACCCAAGCAGTGACTTTTATGTGTTATTTCTTTTTTGGGGAAAAAAAAACTTACACTAAAAAATACATAGGCCCTACTCCTGCAGCCCTTTTGTGAATAATGTTCTATAATTCCGGAGGGAGCCCTATGCCTTTTTCTAAACCAGGTTGTGAATTCTTTGGAGAAGAGATAACATACTGTTTTAATAGTACCAAGACATCCTCACATCTGATTGGAGTTTCACAGAACCCACCACCTTACAACTGAGAAGGAATGTCCTCGCTGCTGGATCAATGGAGGAATGTCAGAGATAAAAAGTCTTTGCTGAAAACATCCTGCCCCCATTTGTCCAATTCTGTTGGCAATCAGAGAGGGAGATGGAGAGACAACCCTACCACATCTTAATAAATGCAGGAGTTCATAGACAGAAAAATTATCTGGCTAGTCCTGGACTGCTCCTGTTAAATTGTAAATGAGTACGTTCTTAAAGACTGTCCTCGTTCTTCTCCACGAAATCATTGTGGATGAAAATTGTTCAAAATCTGAAGCAGACTGTTCGTTCTGCAAGTTGGGTTGGACATATTATGCTGTTAACTAGCCTGGATGTTGGAGGTCTACCTGCATGAAGAGATCCTTCTGCATCATTTGATGATTTCACTTGCATTACAAATCAGTCACATTTGTAATTGATCCTCTGTTTAACCATTTTATTAATTAGGTAGAAAACAGGTCATTTTGAGACTGATGTTGCGGCTTTTGACACATTGGTTGGAATGGTGTAATTTTGCCCAGTGTCCCTTCAGACAACAAACATATTGGAAAAGAATGTGCAATTTCATGCTAAACAGTAAATGAGCACGTTTACAGAGCACGACTGACAGGCTTTTGTTCCTTCACTAGACAACATTAAGAAAATAAAATGTGTTATAATGGTGTCATAATGCAAAGAGGCTGTGCTGCATAGATGATCAGTAAATCCGTGACAAATCTCTACTCTGATAGTCTGCTCTTGCAGAGGTCTTCCATTTCCTTTGGTGGGAGTTCTGTAGACATAAAAGACCAGGCTTCAGAGCTGTTTAGCAAACTTGGATGCCCAATTCCACCTCTTCCATGAAGTCGACCTTCGCACTGCAAAGATTTTTAGAACCAAAAAAGACCTCCACCTACAGAATAAAATGTCCAATATGTAAAAAAATAAATCCTGGCCAAGAGACATTAATCCAAGAATTAAGGCCTTTGAAGTATAGCAATAGGAGATTATAGTAATCTCATGTCAAAAATGGAATTGTATTTCTGTTGAATATCCATTTTTTTATATCCCATATTAGTCAATAGAGAGAGAAAACATGAAGAAAAAGCTATGTCTTTTAAACAGGGATTGTCACAGGCTGTGAAACATGCCTACATTTATAGATTTTAAGCACCCCAGAGTTTGAAGAGGCTTGGTTTTGACTGCCGTGGACTCGAGGCAGTATTCAGAACTGGGAATTTAGGATGGTTTGTCACTGCCTGGAAATTTCCATGCTGTAATGCAAAGGCGAGCACAAGTATACAACTAACACAATACGCATATCCTATATCTGAGAACTTTGTATGTTGCAAGAGGAAGAGCCCCTCCTCTCCCTTCTTTTCATTAGTTTCCCTTTACTCCCTTTTCTCTGTTTCTCCTTCTTCCTCTTTCTTTTCCTGTCTGCTCCCTTTTTTGCTGCTTTAAAAGCAATATATTATCAAGGTTGTGATGAGAAGATCTTTGCTCAGCAGTCACTCCTGACAGGTAAGTCAGTTCCCCCCATATTTATTCCTCACTATTCCTTCTTCTGTGGCCTGTTCCTTTACATTTGACCTTGCAGGAGCAAATAAATGCCAACTAGATGGACATTTAGTTGACAAACCAACAGCTTTCAGGAGACTTCCATTCCCAGGAAATTTCATGCGGTAATCATGTAAGGTCAGATTCTGCCACCACAACTCATAATGAGAAGGGAGAGTAGTTTGTAACTAGGCAGCGGTTCACAGGTAATCTCCAAGGGAGCAGACTCTGTCCGGCCTTCAGGGAGGAGGACAGTCACGCATTAGTCACCTCGGTGACCCAGCGACCTCTCTGTTACAAATACATACAGTATAAGGTTATATAACCCTCCCCTCTTCTGTTTTATTGACAATCCACAACTGAAACTCATGGAACCAATTTGACATGGATTTTAACTACTGATGAACTTTTATTGATTGGTGTGTTGCTAGATGCCTTGCCTCTTACCCATTAAATGCTCAGTGCATGCACATATGTTGCTTCTTTTTGCGTTGAATTCAACATCCAACCTTTCCTGCATTCCCAGGGGATGCGAGGAAGCTGCAAACACTTGGGGATGGACTGATGTCTCAAGTGCTATGGCACACAGCTCATGCATGTCGATCCACTTTACTCCAAAGCTATGAATAGGAGTCACTTTACTTTCATTCAGATCAAGGAGTGGATCTGTTCTGTCAGAGCAGCCCAGAGGCCTCCAAAAGCAGTGAGTTGAGCTAAACAAGTGCTGGCATTAGCAGCAGGAAGAGGAGGAAGTAGAAATGAAAATTAAGGTTGGGGACATTTTAGAAGAGACAGTATCAAGGTTTGTATGATGTGACAGGGCTGGTTTCTCTTGGTATAGCATGTTTCCTGAATCCAGTTTCTTTGACAGAGGAGTTCCTGTTTGAGTTGACATCATGTCACTTATATCCTGTAAGCGCTTAATCCTGCATAAGTGATAAAGTGTCACAATGCTGTTATGTTCCTTTCGCTAGGTTTGGCCAGGGAATTTATTCACATTCAGGCTTAGATTCAGTTTTGATGCTGAAAACAGACATGGGCAAAATCAGGACTGTGTTTTTGTTTTTAAAAAGATGGGAAGAATGTTCTTTTGCCAGGTCTTGAGAAACAAGCCTGAAGGTGAGAAAGACACAGTCTGTTTCCAGCTGTGCCTCTGACTTAATTCTTTATGTTCCTGCTATTCTCCTCAAAAAGTACAGAAGAGTTTAGCATATATGGGTCAAAATGTGACTCATCAAAGTACATGCCAGGGAGGCCAGATATTGCAAAATACCACTATTGTGTGCAAAGTCAAAAGCAGGTTCTTTCATGTGCAGGCCCTAAGTGTCTCGCCTGTTGCCTGTATTATCCAGATTACAGTCAATACTCTGGTATTGGAATTTGGGTTACAGCATAACCTTTTTCCAGCTTCTGTCTGTTTATCACTGAGAGACTTTTATTTGGAACACTCATATTGAGCAAAACCTGCATTTTGAGACTTCTAAATAGCAAGTTATTGTTCCACAAAGGAAAACAAATTAATCAAATTGGTAATTAAAAAGTTCTCAAATGCAAACCTGAAACGTAAGCAAAGGAGTGACAGGTTTTCACTGGAAATCCATGAGGACATTAGATGGAACTGTGCTACCAAGGTATTGGCCACAGTGGGATATAGATACTGTGCTGTGCCTTTTCAGAGTAACAGTAACACAGATGCAGGAGTACAACAAGGTTACAGCTGTGCTGGATTGAAATCTAGTCTTTTGACTCCAGCCGCAGGTTTCATGTGTCACTGGCAATAAATAATGTGAAATGAACAAAGACATCAACTTTTTTTTATACATGCACATGGGTGTGTGTGCTTCTATGTGTGTATATGCATATATATAGTGTATATATAGAGAAGTGAACATTCTTAAAAGCTATATATGTATATGTGTAGCATCTTATACATATAAATATATGGTCCATCATTCTAATTCCATGCACAACTGCACTATAACCATTGTGATTTATAAGGTCACACTTCATATATGCATGACTCACTGGCTTCATTCATGTTTCCATATGTATGTAGAAACATAGCAAAGCAGACATTCCTAGAGACATTGCAGGACAACCTCATTGAGATGGACATTCTCACCTCCTCCCGACATGACGGTGCTTACAATGATGGGTATGTGACACTTATGTGGTCTTCCTGTTTACTGTACAGTCATTATGATCCTTGCATGAAAGCATTTGGTCATATCAATGATGTTTAAGGGCAACACCATTGCTGGCCTCTTCCAAGATGGCTTTAAAAAAATGAGGTTCTGGGGCTTGGAGCACTGTGTCCTGTACATATTTATGGCAGAATCATTAATATGTTAGTGAGCCACAGCATGCCATTTGCTTTTTTCCCCTTGTTGTTTTGAAAGTCATTTCATTAGTAAGAAGTACCTACAGCAATTTTGAATCCCATATAAACTAAGATTAACTTAATTTTCATAAAAATCTTAAACCATTATTGTGCTGGCAGCCTGATACTTCATTGTTAAACTGATATTTTCTAGACACCTTATCTTACAAGTGTCTGCTGGTGGTGTATGTAAGCCAAGCCTTTCATTTTGACTTAACCACCCATTCTGACACCTTTACCTAACTTTTGATCTCTTAACTTTTAAGTTGTAAGCAGCTTTTAACTTGATACTTAGTGACAAAACTGTTGACCTTGTGTTGGCAGTTTCTAATTTGGTAGCCATCATTAACTGAAGATCTAATTGGGTACTTGGAACACTGCAGGTACCTCTTTGCTCAGAACAGATACATCTGTGTCTAAATAAATACTTTCCAAAACACAGGATAGTATCTGACTCTTTGTAAAAATGAATGTTTTGATGTAGAGCATTAGTAGAAATAATTAATCTTTCTCTAATGCTCAGCAGTCATGCTTAGAATACCAATAAAACCATGGCTGTAATACTACAAACACCTATTTTGGAGAATTATGTGTTACTTTTTGCTGCACGGATCAGTGGCTTTTCTGCATGGTGATGTTTCTGCATGTGACATTTCCCCCTGTGACTGCACAAGTGAATTCAAGGGGAAAATAGAGTCACATCTTCATCTGGTATAATCCACTGGCTTGACTGACTCCCATGGATCCATGCTGATTGCATTTATGCTGCTGCAAGTCTGGCGCCATAAACCATGGCAGAAGGTGCAAACTGCACTGGGGCTGTTTCTCAGTCCTCACAAGCTGCATTTTTGTTTTACATCAGCATGGTGATAGACGAGTCAGATCAGTTTCCCAAGTTTCATTTCTGAAATTTGAATGCCTTGTACTTCATGACATTACAGCGAAATTAGGTTTTTCATTTAGGATTCCCATGAAGAGAACTCCCATTGGGACATTTCATTTCAGGAACTCATGGACTGCAGTGGGGTTTTTTTGCACTGACTTTCATGAGTCTCACACAAGGTCCTCATAGGCTGGCTCTCAGGCTGCGTTTGTAGTAACGGGCAAAATTCGGTGCCTCCCAATGTGTCACTGGACAGGAAACGCTGTTTATCTTTGACAGTAATTCACACTTTTTAAAGGTAGGCATCAAACTGAGGTGCTCTAGACTGCTTTCTGGAAGCAGATGCCTCTCCCCACTAGCAATACACAGGACTTGAATTCTGGGCTTTGATGCTTTTAGCCATGCCATTGTCCGACGCTTAAATTTGCCGGGCAGGGACAGTGTGAATATTCCCCTCTGTGACAATTTGGGTGCTATGGAATGGCTTAAGCTGTCTTTCCCCATCTCCATTCACCGATGCCATACAAAAAACGCTCTCATGCAGTGATCAATGAATTGGTAAATGCCCTCCCCTCTTTAATCCGACCCATGCTCCTCTTCAGTCTCCTTAGGGCATTTCTGTGGGAGCGTGAGCAGGCCCCCGGTGCTGCCCGTGCCACCAGTCTGTCGTAGCTGTGCTTGAGGTATTCATCTCAATCTAACACCAGCTCTTCCACAGAGGGAACTCCTGCCCTTGAAGAGTTCTCTGTGGCATTGTTGGCCCTGTGATTTTTTGTTTTGTTTTGTTTTCCTTTACTCTGTGTGACTTGCCTTTGATTTTTATTCTTCTCTTTCGTGCATGCCACCCATGTCCGTAGCCAGCATTGTGTGGAGCTGCTTTCCTCGTCCTGGCAGCAGTTGCCATCCTCCCACCCCACGTCTCCCTCGGCTTCGATCTGTGTGAGGAGTCACTTGCTGTTGGTCTTTCTTCCCTCAGGCACTTCCTGTTCAAACCTGGAGGCACTTCTCCCCTTTTTTGTACAACGTCGCCGGGATATCCCTTGACGTCCAGCACTGTGTACTCACCTCCCCCTAGGCCCCTTCCCAGAAGTACCTTCTCTAGGCCTGCCTTTAACCTGAAGAAACCCTATAAGTACTGTAACTGGAAATGCGCTGCTCTGAGTGCCATTGTCATCTCAGTCACGCTGGTGATCCTGCTGGCGTATTTCATAGGTAACATTATTTCTGGGTTTTTTTCTGCTTTTTCTTCATTTCTCTACAAACCCACCCATAATGCTAATGTTTGGGAACCAGAGGGTCAAGATCATGGTACAAAGTAACGGGGAAAGAAGGCCTCTGTTGACTCCACTGAGGTTGCAGTGGTATGGTAGGGAGCCTAAGCCGGAAGAGCTTATTAAGACATGAGTCATATGTTGTGCTCCCTTCAATGGCATGGACTGTTTACTTTCTGCAGAGCAAAGTGTACCTTGAGTGACAAGGTTTTCTCAAGGGTTTTCTCAAAGCAGCCCATTAAAACAGGCAGTGAGGTCCATGTCCCAATCAGTCACATTCAGGTCTGTGGGAATTCTCTGCTGTTGACTTTGACAGGAGCAGGGTCAAAACCAAGATCCTGACACACAAAAATGTGGTTTTATTCTATCTTCTGGTGGCACATCCTAGCCATTTAACCAGCGATATTGAAGTTCACAGGGTGATCAGGAGGATGGAGAAGGACTGAGTTTAGACTGTGGTCCAGCAGGGCCTTTTTTGAGTAGGGGGAGTCGAGGAAACATGCTACTTGGGTGGAGAAGCAGTGGATTTTTCTTGAGCTGTGCATGATCTGAATTTCTTTGGTTTATAAGGGTTGTCAATGTTCATTGCAAAAAAGCGTTCTCAGTGTTTGTTGCAAAAGTAATTGAACTGCTAGAAGTGAAAATTGTATTTTTCAGCCTGTAAAGTTGGGGTGTTACCATTACTTTTTCTTCAGTTAGATTTGATATTTGTGTTATAAATGTCTTACAAAGGTCCATTCCTAGACCATTCTATTTTAAACTGTCAATGATGCAAACTCTAGTTGTCAGACACTTACAGACATGATCATAGGTAAAAAAGCCAATTTCTCCAGGCACAAATGAGTCTTTTTGATTTTGCTGTGACTTCCTGTACACTAATGATCTAGAAAAGGTTGTGGTTAGAATTACAAATCTTAGCCTGGATCGAAAGATTTTTGCTTTCATTTCACATGAGTATAATTAGCACTACCACAAAGGATTGCTTTTACTGTGTTCCTTTTATGTACACTTCTTTAATGACTGATACTTTTCCACTTCTGCCTTGCATCATATTCTGGTCACTTTTATGCCTCCTGTAAGAGGAGCAGGCATGATTAATTAACCAACGTTAAATCAGCAGCAGTTTGATGAAATATGCAGTCAATTTTCATCATTTGCTATGTACATTCGGACTCGCCTTTCTCATTTGTCTGGTATTCTCCTTATGCCCTGAACACAGTTCCTTTGGACATTATCTCAGTGTGTCAGAGGAGTATCATTGTAACTCAGAATAGCAGTGCCTGTTAATTCTGACGGAGGAGGTGTGTGCTGTTTGATAGATTGAGAAGAGTTTGGTTTGCCACTCGATATTCTCCAACTCAAAAACCTTTTTCAGAATTCTGAAAAGATCAGGCTCCTGTTTAAAATCACAGTTAATGTGGTTAAAAGGTAGGTCCTTTTGAGTGCTCTCCCATCCTTTTTTCCCCATTCAGATGAATTCTGTGGCATTTGCCAGGCTCCATGGATGGCTGGCAAGGTGCCAGAAATGCTGATCAGGTTGAACTGCTGTAATTATGGGTCATAATTACTAATTTCTAAAGGAAATATCAATTATTAAAAATCAAATTTGATGGTTCAGTTCAGCATAAACATATTTAGCAAAGATTTTCTCTACTAGACCCAGTGTTCTAATCAACAAGCAAAAAGGCAGATATTTAATTAGATTTTGATGAAAAATTGTGTTTAATTTCAAGTATAATCAATTATTAATTACTGTAATGAGTGACTCTGGCGGGGTTTACTAATTAACTCATTTAAAAATTATGAATAACCTTTTCATTTGTAATTATTTTCTACATCCTGTCAAGTTGCAGATGAGAATTGTATCACCAAACCCAAAAGAAAAAAAAATGAACCGGGGAGTCAAAATGTTTGTACTTTCATTAAGTTAAGCTGAGACATTTTGCATTCTGATAAAAACTATGCAGTTCTTAACAGGAACCTGTTCATTCTTTTAAATAACCTGGTCTGTTTGCAAAACAAATTACTGTTTTTCTCCAGTTTTTGTTTTTCCTTCCCTGTATTTGTATAGTTGCATTTTCTTACAGATACTTTTCCGCATTTAAGCAGTATGTTGGTCTTTTCGATGCCATGGGGGCTATTTGAGTGGTAAGGTATAACTTAATCATGAATAAGAAGGTCTAATCTATATAACAGCTCATGAGTGTTGGGAAATTGGCTACTTTCCACCCACTCTTGTTAGTTAAAACAACCATAGAAATTATCTTTTTAATGACCATTTTCATCCTCCAAAACAAACCGAGGTCATTTGAAAGACTCCTATTTAAGTGAATGGACTTTGGATCAGGTCCCATGGCAGTGGCTTGGCATTTACTCTATTTTTTTATACACTGATCGGTTAATGGAAATACTTCAGAATAATGTCTAGGGCTTCTGGGTGCTCTCTTCACAGCACCAGGCATGTCACAGTTGTCTGTTTAGATATTAAAAACTACCTATTGCAGGCCTTACCTACCTGTACAAGTGTGTGGAGCTAGAGACATCAGGAGATCCACGCGGGACTCTGCTATTGGCAATACTTTTTGTGTGACAGATGCTCAGACACAGCTGTGATGGGCGACCATCTGAGGCAGGCAGAGCTGCATGGAAACAACGAGGCATTGGGTCATTTCTGAAGGTCTTTGCTGAAGCCAGTTCATTTTTTAAATTCATCTGAAGCACTTGCAAAATTGTTTGTTTAAGGCTAAAAGGCAGAGTTTCCATTCTTTTATGAAAGTCTTTATGGTATTTAATAGTCTGAGGTTCATTTATCTTGCTGGGCTTTTTCAAAGAAGAGGAGAGGAGGCATAAATAGAAGTCCATGGAAGCCGAACGGCTGGTACCATGTGTCAACACTGTGATCAAGCTGAAGGTTTTACAGGGCTGAGTCACTGGTCTGGAGAGATAATGACAAACAAAATATAACAGGGTGTATTAAACACCAGAAGCCGGTTTTCATTTGAATTAACCAGCTTTTGATTGACTTGTTGCCACCTTTTCAAATATTCAGAGACACACACTAAGGCAGTGGCGACAATGCACATCAAAGTTTTGCACACACAGAGCTTATGCAAATCTCGTGAGCTTTGCAGAAGCTTGTCTCGTGGGGTGACAAAACCAAAGAAAAAAGCAGTGGCAGACCGGGGCTGTAACATTAAAATGGCAGGAACCACTGAAATGAAAGGCCTCTTTAAGCAGCTTGTAACTGACCTGCAAATTTGCTGTTCCAAGAGGTCATGAAGAGACACTGCTTTAAAATTAAATTCCTCATTTTAGGATTGTCCATTCAATTGACAGCTAGACAAGGAAAATTTTTATGGCCTTTGCTGGGATGTGATGGGGTCTGTACGCCATGGAGCTCTGCCTTGGAGGGCTAATTTATAGCGAGATTCTTATGACAGAGATGATACCACGAGGTATGTTGCTATCCAAATACTTCGCCAGCAGAGTTTCTGTACTTGGTAGATACCAGGCCTGCTAGCATAGCACTGTAAAGAATCTCTGACATTGCCATACTGCTTGGGAGGAAGATTTCTGAGTTTAGAAACAGAAAAGACCTGTTTGATTGTCCGGATCTCCATGCCCAGCAGCTGTTTGGCTAGATCTGCGGAACAGTTTCTAAATGAATTAGTGATGGAGAATAGTTTCTTTCTTCTGAAACAGAAGGTATTATCCTCTGCCTGATGCAGATTCCAGACTAGATGGAAGTACAATTTGATGTAGTTAGGCACTTGCAATTTTCCTATACTTAAGCATGTGCTGCGGTTGCATTGCATGAACAGCAAGAAAGATGGGCATTTGATTTAGATTAAAGTTAGGGCTGGAAAACATATTATGAAGCCAAAACAGTCATTCATTTGATTGGAGTCAGAGCTCTCTCTACTTTTCAGCTCTGTGTTCGTTTGAACTCTGTACAGATGCAGCTTCACTTAAAGAACAGTGTTGCTTGCTACAGGCAAAATGCTTTGACAGTAAAACTGTGCTAGGACTATGATGTGTTTATAAAGTGTCTTTCTTTTTATTGTCTAAAAATCACCCTGAAAGCTAAATTTAGCTCAGTTTGTCCATGTTTCTGTGATGCTATGTAATAAACCCAATTTAAAGCACCTCTCCAAAGCTCTTAGCTATCTGACTAGTTAGCTATGGATGTATAGTACACCAATTAACCATGGTGTTTACATGCCACTTGAGATCAATAGGAAAAGTTGCTAACGCTTAATTATTAAACTTAAGCTATATCTATTAAGCCTGCATTCATACCTTGATATTAAGGTTTTTATTCAAGTTAAAATAGAAACCAATTTATTACCCTGCCAACAAGTTTCTTTCATTTTCTGCTTTAATATTTCTTTTCTGATCCCAGATTAAGTTCTATTTTGCTACTGTTGCCATATTTTCTTTTGATTTACAGGGATCTTTCAATGTTTTATATTTCCATCTTACCTTAGATAAAATGCAGCAATGGTAGCTAAACAATCTGTTCTAGCAAAGCCTTTACATTATGAAGTCAATCTGTCACCTAAAAAGGAGCTTCCAGGTCCTTGCTTGGTTCTTTCACATCTTCACAAAATTACTGCACACAGTTCACTTAGTAACTTTGGGTCTCATTTACTTCATTTTACCCTTAATCTATAAAAATGTGAGATCCAGTTTGAAAGGTGCTATAGTATTATCAGTAATATATTTTATGTACTATAGATGTTTGTGAAACATAACATTTCAGGATACTAGTTAAGAGGGACTATCACGACCCAGCACTACCATTTTTATCTTTTATAGCAGAACTTGAATATGTGGGGGTTTTTCTGTTAAAGCTGGCTCTTATTGTATCAAATGCATGCAAGCATGGTTAGTGCCACTCCCTCACTAAGTCATACAGTTTAAATGACATCTAGCTCGCTC